GGAGTAGAGAGTTGGTCTCTGACAGAAGGCCACCTGAAGAGACTAGAAGCATTTGAAATGTGGATTTACAGGCGGCTGTTAGGTATAAGCTGGGTTGACAAGATCAGAAATGAGGAGGGGATAAGCCGCCTGGGAAAGCCAAGAGAAATCATCAAAACAATTAAAAAACGAAAATTAAGAATATTTCGGACATGTGATGCGACACCCAGAAAAATACGGCATACTCCATTTAAGCCTCCAGGGAAAGATTGAAGGCAAACGAGGTCCAGGCAGAAGAAGAACATCATGGCTTCAAAATCTAAGGGACTGGTTTGGACAAAACTCAGCAGCACTTTTTCGTGCGGCTGCTGATAAAAGCAGGATCGCTAACATGATCGCCAACGTCCGATAACGGATATGGCACAAGAAGAAGATCTGTCTGATCCTCCATCCATCATCTGCCTATCTATTCATTCATCCACCTATGTCTATCCATCCATCTGTCCACCTATCTATCCTTCCATCATCTATCTGTCTATCTAGCCATCTATCATGTATGTATGCATCTCTCTTTCTCTCTCTCCATTTATCATTCCTCCCTTCCTCTCTCTCATGCAAGGATTCAGGCATCAAAATGTTGAATAACCACCATAACATAACCTCTACAAGATCTGGGAATCAATAGTGACAGACATGATATTAAGGAAGACAAACACAAAGCAAGAGGTTCTGTGCCGAACAATTTAGGGCAGTATTTTTCACACTTGACAACTTTAAGATGTGTGGATCTCAACTCTCAGAATTCCCCCATCTTAAAGATGTCAAACTGAAAAACACTGATTTAGGACACGAGATGCACTTTTGGTGAGAATTCAGTTGTCATATTTCTGAGTTTGTTCCCTTATAACCCAAACAACAACATAGAATAGAATAGAATAGAATAGAATAGAATAGAATAGAATAGAAAGGGACCTGGAGGTCTTCTAGTCCAGCCCCCTGCTCAAGCAGGAGAACCTAGACCATCTCAGACAAGTGACTGCCTAGCCTCTTTTTAAAAATCTCCAGTGATGGAGCGCCCACAATTTCTGAAGGCAAGCTGTTCCACTAATTAATTGTCCTCACTATCAGGACGTTTCTCCTTAATTCCAGGTTGCTTCTCTCTTTGATCAGTTTCCAACCATTGTTTCTCGTCCTGCCCTCTGGTGCCTTGGTGAATAACGTGACCCCCTCTTCTTTGTGGCAGCCCCTCAAATACTGGAATACTGCTATCATGTCTCCCCGGCTTCTTCTTTTCTTTAGACTACTAGCCAAATCCAAGTCCTGCAGCCATTCTTTATATGTTTTAGTCTCCAGGCCTTTTATCACCTTAGTTGCTCTTCTCTGAATTCAACACAATCTGCTTGGATAGCCTTGCTTGGCATTAATATTCAAATCTGAGTTTTCCAATCTTCAAAGGAAGTGTAGAATAGAAAAGGGTCCAATAAAAAACATAATGCAAAATGGAAACATTGCCAAAACAAATAACGAAAACCGCCAACAGTGCATGAGTAGGGATATCAGATGGGAGTGTGAGTTATTCCATGACCACAAAGTTCTGTTTATTTATTTGTCAAATTTAGGCACCACCCATCTTGTTCTCTTCCCACCTTATCTAATGCCAGAATTGGAAGGGAACAGCAAAAGAGAATTTAAACCAGGGGTCTTGAAACTTGGCCCTTTTATGACTTGTGGACTTCAACTCCCAGAATTCCTCAGCCAGGTACGCTGAAGTCTGCAAGTCATAAAAGGGCCAGTTTTCAAGACCCCTGGTTTAAACAATCAGCTCAGCAGGTAGATGGACTCATGCCAGGAAATGTGCTGCGCAAAACAGTATCAGAATGTGGCAAGATGTAGCTATCAGAGATTTCAGGATTAAAAATGGCATTCTGAAAAATGTCTTGCAAAATATTTGCATAAGATTGGTTCCAAAAAAACACCACAGTCTATCTGAATTCTGAACCCTCTCATCTAACCAATGTTTGCAAAGAGATTGTAACCCTCCTGGCTCTATTTACTAAGCCATGCAGAAATGAATGTCTTTTGCATACAAGCTGAGAACCGTCCACAATTAACTGCATTGTTTTTCTTCCAATGGGTTTTATATAAAAAGATCCATCACATTGCCTATCCTAGAGGTCAAAAGAGATTTTCCTGGTAACAGACTCTAAGATCATCTTAATAAAAGAAAAAAAAGACCAGCCAAATCTTCCAAACAACTCATTAAGATCATATATATCAAAAGCTACTCAAAAGCTCTTAACAAAATGAGCTGCAGACAATGCTATCTCCAGACACTGATCATGGCAATTTAGGTAAGAAAAGATGCATCGTCATCATCACACACACACACAAACACAGGTTGCTTTGTTGCCTCCTACCTGTCACAAAAGGAGTCACAACAGGCCTGCAACTAGCCCAAGAATTTTCTGGTGGGTTTATTCAGAAAGGATGCTACAGGTTTAATAAGAACAACTAAGCTTCAAGGGAACTAATTGTCATATCAGCTGATAAACTTACAAGATTGTCTATCCAGCTTTAATTAGACATAACAGGCAGGCATCCAGCTACATATGGTGGCCCAGCAACGCTGTTAGCAATCATCAGGTTTGCCATACGGCAACGGTCCAAAACCCTGCTTAAATAACTGCGTCCAGATTGGAACAACTGTGATGTTTTCGGTCTTGCCTATTTAGATCAAGCATAATACTGAATGTTTAAATTAAAAACTGGCAAGGAGCTACGCTGACAAACAAAGCTTATCGAGGGAGGAAGCTTGCTTGCTCTAAACAGGGTTAAGAATTTGAGTTACCCAAAACACTGCAGCTTGCTAGGGGAAATTACGCAAACCAACCAGAACAAAGAGCAAAGCCTTGACTATTGATCCACATAGTCAGTATTTCGCAAAAGTAGCCTCCCCCCTTCCCTAACAGCAGCTAGTTCTGGACAAATAACAGCTTTGGGCTTAGGTTTCTCCACCAGTAGTCTCTTTTAAATCAAGCAAATTGCATCTGAATTGAGAGGACTTTGAAAGGTTTATGTAATATGGCTGGGGGCTTAGTAGTGGGGGGGGGGAGTAAAACCACCCACTGACTCCAATCTCTGAAACTCATCTATTCTAGCTCTTCTGAGCAGAAGCTGTTGCAGACTGGTTAGAAGCCTGAGTGTAAGAGCTGCACTTAATCAGTTTCATTCAAAACTGTTTGGAGTCAAGCACGGCAGTGCCATTTGATTTTTATGATCTCGCTGCCTCTCATTTGATGCGACTTTTATGATCTGTTGCTCTGAAATTTAGTTTTATAGCCAGCCACTCCAAGAGATAGGATGAGCAGCGGCCTATCAAGGGATGAATGAAATGACTGAGATGTGATCTCTTTGCTACCTACCGTCAAGTGCTCAAACTAGCCTTCAGCTCCTTGAGACTCTCAGCCCTTTAACTACTTGAAATGGCAGAAGAGGAAGTCGGGACTCCAGTGGGAATTTCTCAGCGTGGTATAGCACAGGCACCCATGTTATGCAGCCCACCTGCCATTACAGAAAATGGGAACCTTGGTCCCCGTTTCTCCATCTACAGCAGGGGTAGTCAACCTTGGCTCTTTTATGACTCGTGGACTTCAACTCCCAGAATTCCTGGCTCAGGAATTCTGGGAGTTGAAGTCCACGAGTCATAAAAGAGCCAAGGTTGACTACCCCTGATCTACAGGTTGGACCCGTGTTTTTCAAACTTGGCAACTTTAAGATATGTAGACTTCAGCTCTGGGAGTCAAAGTCTGCACATCCTGAAGTTGTCAAGCTTGAAAAACATTTGCTGGACTCTGTGTGTGTGTGCATCTTCCAGACTAGAAGTGCCAGTAAGAAGTAGAACAATCAGTTAATATTAGATTTCAAATGAGGATTTCTTTTATGGCCATCTTCATCACTAATTTCAGTGGCAAACTCTTGCAACTACACAAAATAATATAAGGAAGGTTCCCCCTCTTTGTCTGGAAGTTGAATCATGGCAACTGGGCTTTTTTTCTTGTTAGTTTGAAACATTTTGCTGTTTATTCAAATAGCTTCTTCAGTCTGAGCAAGTTGGTTAGGGGGACTCTACATATGTCCTCCATGGAGGTTTCATTTCTCACCTAATCTCCCTGGAGGACATATATGGGGTCCCCCTAACCAACTTGCTCAGACTGAAGAAGCTACTTGGATAAGCAGCAAAATGTTTCACATCAACATGAAAAGAAGTCCAATTGCCATGACTCAACTTCCAGACAACTCTACCTGGATGATCGAGAATCTTCATCAACACATTTCTCATCTTTCTGCTACAGTTTTCCTCTACAGTGGTACCTCAGTACTCGTCATTAATTGGTTCCAGGAGGTTTGATGAGTACCAAAAATGACGAGTACTAAACATTTTTTTCCCATAAGGAATAATGTAGCTAGTCACAAGGCAGCCAACACTGACAAGTTCTAGCTTGTGCATTGAATTCCAAACAATGAATACTAGGACAAAATTTTCCCATCAAAATGCATTGAGTACCAAATTTGATGAGTTTCAAAGCAGTTGAAGGTACCACTGTATTCTTATTCTCCTCCTATTCTTTATAGTTTATGTCCTTTCCAATGATCTAGGTCGGTTTTGAGAACCTATGTTTTCTTCTGCCACCCCAGAAGCCTTGACGACTGAGATTTTTGATGGTACCATTCAGCTGAACTACACTAGGCTGACGGTGGCAGTATCAAAGCGGTTTCAAACCTATTCTAAGGGCCAGCCAATTGATGGTTGGTAAAACTACGTTGTGTTGTAATTTGGTAGAACTAACTGCTCTACCAATTGTCTTTTATTTATATATCTGTTCTGAAGGAGGGGTGTGTGAGTCCACTATGCACTTAGTCACTCCTCAAAATATGTATTCTAGTCTGATTGCCTGTTGCTAAGCATTTAGGATAGAGACCAGCCATCGTGTTCATTTCAGCAACATTAAAGTTCAACTCACCAAACATGTTCCCGATATGTCCATTTCTAGTGAGAGGTCTCAGTTCATTTTTCCCCAAGGCATATTGCTTGTAGTTATCCCAAGCAAACTTCATCATCTGCAAAAGAAAGAGGCAACTGGCAATTAGCTGTGTATCTGGTTGTTTCAGACAGCATCTGGGCATCACTGTGTTAAAAAATAGAGGTAATTGATGTGCAAAGAGGCAGAAGGCATCCAAATATACTCGCACAAAAGCACACACACACCAATGATTCTCCCTTGCTATTGAATTCTGGATGAAATTTGTCTAGAAATGAATTTAAATTCACAAATTGGCATTTAATAAGTGGGCATAAGAAATCTCTTTTGCTCTCCGTACATTAAGTAGCTAGCTGTATATTGTAGGCCAGTGGTTCTTAACCTTTTTGAACGAATCGCCCCCTTGAGCCAATGAGGAAGTTGTCATCGCCCCCCTCCCCCAACATAACCTCTCAATCACAACATAGGAAATAATTCTTCAATTTATGCAAACCCTTTTTTTGTTTTCTTTAAAATTGTCATCAGGACAACATATCGATGCAAATAATTTATTTCCAGTCTTTTTCCCATATCTCCCATATTCTGGCTAATAGCACGCCATTGTATGGGTAGAGGCTGCTGCGCAACGCGCATGAAGATAAGCGATGCATATTCACATATGTACAGCGTTCTGTACTAAAGCTAGCTGGAGGAACATTTGAAAACACAATTCAATCCACTAATAGCGAGCGATCTGATGTTTTTGTACGACAGATATGCAGCGATTCACTGTACGAAAAAGTCTCAAAAGTGTCCCCAAAACTTCTCGCTCCATCGCCCCCATATCGCCCCCTTTTCATTCCTTTGCCCCCGCGGCGCCCCTTTTCGTTCCATCGCCCCCCTGAAAAACGAAATCGCCCCCTGGGGCGATATCGCCCAGGTTAAGAACCACTGTTGTAGGCTACAAAAATAAAATGCTTCCCCAAGCCGGAAGCTTATCCATTGAGAATATTTTCCTACTGAATGTCTGCATTTGGTTTAGGACTTTCCTGTAGATTGAAAACATTCAACAAAATAAATTTAAAAATATCTAAGATCTACCAGAGGGCAGGACAAGAAACAATGGTTGGAAACTAATCAAGGAGAGAAGCAATCTGGAATTAAGGAGAAACTTCCTAACAGTGAGGACAAGTAACCAGTGGAACAGCTTGCCTCCAGAAATCGTGGGGGCTCCATTACTGGAGATTTTTAAGAGACTGGACAGCAACTTGCCTGAGAATGTATAGAGTCTCCTGCTTGAGCAAAGGGGTAGACTAGAACAGAGGTCCCCAACCCCCGGGCCATGGACCAGTACCAGGCCGCGGTATGCCAGCAACAGGTCCGCACAAACAAGCACAGTCTCATCTGCAAGATGCAGGCAGCACACAAAACCATGCCCCCTCCAGTCCGTGAAAAAACCTCTCTCCATGGTTCCCAAAAAGTTGGGGATCTCTGGACTAGAAGACCTCCAAGATCCCTTCCAGCTCTATTCTAAAATCCAGGCTCTGTTGCTTTAAATGTGAAGCAAAGTTGTTCTCGCAAATCAAGATAACCAAGTGTCTCCTATGCAGAAGGATTCTGACCTGGTTAATATTTGGCTGCTGCGAACTTCTGCAAAAACTAGCACGTGCTTTCTAAAGGAAGAGAAATAGACCCTTTAGTGACACATATGCATGTATGCATGCATGCCTGCATGTATGCATGTAAACTTTAAAAAGATCCATTCTGTTTTCTAGCACAAGCAGTCCTCCAATAACTGTGGGTGGGAAAAATATTTCCAAGTAATCAGCAAACTGGCTTTCCGGGAAAGACACTGTTACTTAGAGGTCATTGACACAAAGAGAATGTTTCTGACTTCCCTTCACCGGCCTGGGCCCAGCTGGCAGGGGAAGGGAGAAGGACAAATAGCCATCCTTATGAGGATAGCGGAGGGCCAGTGGCCAAGCCTTCCTTCCACACCATTTTTTAATAAAAAGATGCAATCCGAAGGCTTCCCTTGTCCTCAAAAGCTTGAGATTCCAGTCTCAGTCCACTTCTTCTAAGGAAGGGGTCAGTAAGTCAACGGATAAATAAATCAAGCTTCTGCTGATCTGGTTGAAAAATTTGGAAGAAAGGTGCCCCTTCTCTCCCTGGTCTCCTCCAAATGTGTGGGAATTACCCGTCAAGCTAAGTTTGCCTGTGGTTCAAAGGAAGTCAGCTTTCTCCTTAATGCCCTGCTTCTTTGGGTTCTCAGCACTTCTCAACCTCGATTGCATTTATTTACTTTTTTATATTCAAAAAAATATTTTTGCTACAAGGGGTTCAATGTAGTGTACGCGGGTCTCCTCCCCCCCCCTGCATTTTTAACAGCATGCCACCCCCCTTTAAGTAGCTCAGTCCAAAAGGCCACACAAGGTTAAAGATGTTCTTAAATAGAACTTGATTCTTGGCGATTGCATCCATGCAGTTTTCTGGACAGCGTTATATAAACCAGGGCTTTTCAACCTTTTCACTCATTGTACCACTTTTAGGATATGGCAACATCCGAGGACCGCCAGTCGCCTAGCAAGGTGTCAAAAATTTGATGAACCCCCTCCCAAAAAAAGGAAAAAAGTGATAAAGTACAGGTAGTCCTCGACTTACAATAGTTCGCTTAGTGACTGTTCGAAGTTACAATGGCACTGAAAAAAGTGCCCCCCAAGCCACAGCTGAGCAAGACACCTGCCTGCCCGCCTGGCGGCGCTCTTCCTCCTGTCCGAGGTTTTCATTGTTGTGAGCATTTCTGTTGAGGATTGGCAGCGGGGGTGGGATGGGGGGGTTGGTTTTTATTCCCCCCCCCCCGTCTGCTGGGTGGTTGCAGCAGGTTTTGGTCACTTCACATGACCCTGGGACACTGTGACCGTCATAAATACGAATCAGTTGCCAAGCATCTGAATGTAAATCACAAGACCCTGGAGATGCTGCAACATTCCAGCTGATCGGCGCTTCTTCAGGGCTCAGCAGAAGCACCAGGATCAGTGCCGAGCTCCAGCTGGAGCCTGGCACTGATCCTGGCGCTTCCGCTGAGCCCTGACAACCCCGAAGCGCCGATCAGCTAGAAAGCGGCACTGATCCTGGCGCTTCCGCTGAGCCCTGACAGCCCTGCAGCTCCAGCCGTCTCTCGGTCAGGCTTGTGCGGTGCTGCCACCAGTTCAGCTCATTCCCCTCCCCCGCTACCACTTTTCTAGGATGGTCGCGTACCACCTGCCAGGTGCCCATGTACCACAGGTGGTACCTGTACCACTGGTTGAAAAGCCCTGATATAAACAGTTTGGCTTTAGCTTTCTTCCAGAGTGGTTTTTTTCCCCAACTTTCCAGGTGCTTTGCCACCCAAGTACTGACCCAAGTTGACCTTTCTTAGCTGCTAAGATCAACCATATCCAGACCTCTGAAGAGCAGAGTAAGGTTAGAGAGAAAGAGATTAGGATGTCTGGAAGAAGCTTCTTCTTTCCCACCCAGCAAGACTCCATCAATAGTCACAATAAGAAGCATTTTGCTAGCAGGGACCAGACTCCCACGGTAACTCAACATTTTGGGAATTTGATCAAACCTAAGACTTACAACCGTTCCAATTTACAAGGGCAGTGAAAAAAAAAAACAATAGCAAAATAAAAGAATTGGAAGGGACCTTGGAGGTCTTCTAGTCCAACCCTCTATTCAAACAGGAGACCCTATACTATTTCAGACAAATGGCTGTCCAGTTTCTTCTTGAAAATCTCCAGTGTTAGAGCACCCATAATTTCTGAAGACAAACCATTCCACTGATTAATTGTTTTCACTGTCAGGAAATTTCTCCTTAATTCCAGGTTGCTTCTCTCCTTGATTAGTTTCCATCCATTGCTTCTTGTCCTGCCTTCAGGCGCTTTGGAGAATAGCTTGATCCCTTCTTCTGTGTGGCAGCTTCTCAAATATTGGAACACTGCTGTCATGTCCCCCCTTGTCCTTGTTTTCATTAAACTAGACATACCCAATTCCAGCAATCGTTCTTTGTATGTTTAGCCTCCAGTCCCCTAATCTTCTTTGTTGCTCTTCTCTGCACTCCTTCTAGAGCAGGGGTAGTCAACCTTGGCTCTTTTATGACTCGTGGACTTCAATTCCCAGAATTCCTGAGACAGTTTAGGGGGGCCGGATGTCAACGCTTAGCTGGCTCAGGAATTCTGGGAGTTGAAGTCCACGAGTCATAAAAGAGCCAAGGTTGACTACCCCTGTTCTAGAGTCTCAACATCTTTTCTACATTGTGGCCACCAAAACTGGATGCAGTGTTCCAAGTGTGGCCTTACTGCAAAAGAGAGAGTTTTCCTACACGGAAAGTTGAAGCTTCATCCCATCTTCTATGTTTCCTTTGGTATTTATTTCCTTTACCAGAAAGTCAATCCATCAATGTCGGATATAAAAAAGCTGACGCAGAGAGCAGAGTCAATTATGCACCACTTACAGATAAAGCTACAAATCTATTTGGGTCTTACTAAAGTAGAAGTTTATAGTGTTTATCAAATTTATATGCACACTGACGTCTGTCCTGGGGCAAAGGCAGGACTTCCTGAGCTCGTCTTACCACCGATTTACAATAGCTAAGCTTGAAGCTTTGCCCAGATGTTTTTCTTCTACTCAGTGCTTTTTTTGTAAAAAAAAAAAAAAAAGGTGCGGGAACTTACACAACCCGCCTTGCCTACCCTACAAGGTTCCATCCAAAAAAGGTGCCGGAACTCCGTTCTGGGTGTTTTATGACAAAAAAAGCCCTGCTTCTACTACAGTCAATTGATTTAGAGCAGTGATGGCGAACCTTTTAGAGACCGAGTGCCCAAACTGCAATCCAAAACCCACTTATGCATCGTCGGGTGCCGGGTGGGTGTGGCCCATTGGGTGGGCGTGGCCCATTGGATGGGCATGGTCATTGGGTGGGCGTGGCTGCGGTGGTAACGGCAGACTGGGTGGGACTAAAAAGTTCAATCAATCAATCCCAACTTTGCAAGATCCTTTTTTTCCCACGCGAGAAGTTGAAATTGATTGATTGGACCTTTTTTTTTTGCACATGGCAGCGGA